TCAGCCACTTGGTTTTTTAGAGAAAGGGTTTTTCAGTTTGGCTAACCTGCTTGGACATAGAGTCACTGGGACCTTCCTGTCTTTCCTGTATTGACTTCTGGTTGCTGTTCCTGTTGGTTTTTTGTTTGGTTTTATTCTTCTTACCCTCTGAATATAGGGTCTCACTATGTACCCATGAATGGCAAGAATTTATGTAGCCCAGACTAGTTAGTCCTAAACTTTGAACATTTCTCATGCCTCTTTCTACCTTTTGAATGCTAACATAACAGACATAAACCAACATGCCTGGCTTGTTTGTTTTTTAGTGGACACTGGGGATCCAACTCTAATCCTCATGCCTACAAATTGAGCACTTTCCAAACTAAGCCATCTCCACAATTCTTTATGGTGTGAATACTAAATGTCCCCCCCCCCAAAATTCCTATCTTCAGAGTTTGGTCTCTATGATTGCAGAGTGTTCAGAGATGGGACTTTGAATAACAAAATGGACCAGCATCTACTGAAGACCAACTGAAACATTCAGCCTCATGGACTGAGCAACTTCAGGATTCTTGAACTTTCCATTCATGGCCTGTCATTGTAGGATTAGTTGAATTTGCAAGTGACTGTAATAAATTCCTTTTTTGTTGTAGTTTTTGTTTTTTGAGAAAGGGTTTTTCTGTAGCTTTGGAGCCTAACCTGGAACTTGCTCTGTAGACCAGGCTGGCTTCAAACTCACAGAGATCTATCTGCCTGCTTCTGCATCCCGAGTGCTGGGATTAAAGGCATGTACTACCATTGCCCAACTTCTAATAAATCATATATATGGATACACACAAATACTGCGGTTAAATACGGGTCAGGATAAACAAACAGGCTGAATAGATGTTTATTCAGGGAGAAATAACTTACAACCTAGACAGATGAACACCAGCAAGTTCCACCGAATGCTCTCCTCTCCGTGACCCGCCAGCAAAAGAGCACCAGCAAGAGAGCACCAGCAAGAGAGCGTTCCCCAGCTCCTCCTCAGACCTCCTTCCACAGGTCACTTCTGCCCTGGCTCCACCCCCCCAATGGGCGTGGTCAGTGCCACAGAAGGAGACAAAGTGAATATCCCACTACAATTCCCCTTTTAGTCTAAAGAAAAGGTTTAGGCTCGATACAAAACTATATACAAAACAGTGAATAACAAGTGTGCTCTAAGAAAAGGAAAATCGAGAACAAAATGACCTACATATCTAGTCCTAGGGTGAAGGCATAACGGAGTTTACAACAGAGTTGTCCTAAGCTGGAAAACTTAAGTTTAGTACCTAATATATCTAACTAGGAAGAGAGAATAATAGTTGTGATAGTTTAATCTTCAACCTCATCAAGACCTGAGAAGGAAAATAATGATACTAGGGTGGACAGGAAGTGCGGATGGGCAACTTCCAAAAGGTGCAGCGAGGACAGAAACAGAGGCTACCTGGAGAGTCACCCAAGGTCTCACAGCAACGTTGGTACACCCAGTTTTGGTTAAGGCCGAGAGAACTTGACAGACCACAACAACAGCAGGGAGGTAGAAAGGCTGTCTTACCCTGACTTGGCAAGGTCCAGCAGTCTTCTATATTTGTCTCTTGCAAGCACATAGGACTGCATGTCCAAATCAGTGATCAAGGTGGGGGCAGTTCTTTGCCCAAGAGGCCATTAGCTGAGGTGAGAATGGACTCCAGCAGGAGCAACAACAGTGTCCAACATATTTTCGGGAAAGTGCACGGTGCTGTCAGGAGCAAGTGTCTCATGTCAACGGAGTACTAATATTAAAACATTTAAATGCCATTTTCTGCATGTCTATGAAGTGATTGAAGATTAAGCATCTATGTCTGACTAATCTCATAGGTAAAGGAAACATGAGTGAAGATAATCTGTAATACTCAGGAACTTAGCTAAAAAACTGATTGAAACTCCCCTGAGTAAAGCAGGAACAAATACCTAAACAAACAAAAATCAGACCTTCAGTGAACTAGCCACTGTTAAGTGCCCCACATCATGTTTCAATAGGAAAGTGTTGACAGGAGACGCATTAATTTTTGTGTGCAAGTATAGTGTATGTCCATATCTGTCCACATAGGTAGAGGTCAGAGGAGGGCAATGGGTACTTTGGTCTCTATCTTTAGCTTCCTTATTTATGCCTTTGAGGCAGAGTCTTCCCTGAACCTTTAGCTATATTGGCAGCCAACAAACCCCATCAACCTTCCCATCTCTGCCCCTTACAACACTGTGGTTTTTATGTGTACACCAGGTTCTGGACTCAGGTCCTCATGCTTGCACAGCAAACCTCTTACCTGCTAAGCTGTATCTCCCAGGCTCCATTCTCATAATTTCTGCATGGTCTACAGGACAATACTAAACAATTAAGAATGTAATCTTAACTCCTCTGGGTCTTCTTCACAGTCCATCTCCCTGTACCCTTTTTACTACAACCCCTACCTGCCCCATATCCTTTACCCAGTTTACTTTTCTTCTTACCCTTTTAAAAGCTACTTCAGATGGAACTCACGTGCTTTCTCGTCTGTCTCCTCCTGTAGACCAGGCTGGCCTGGAACTCAGAGATCCTCCTGCCTCTGCCTCCTGAATGCTGGGATTAAAGGTGTGCCCAGCAGATCTCATAACTTTTTGATTATATGTTGAACTATTCTGGATATAGTTGTTTAAATAAAATTAATAAAACAACTGTTTTTTACAATAAAAAAGATACTGTGTGTGCTCATACGTGAATATGGAGGTCAGAGGACAACTTGTGGGAGTCAGTTCTCTCCTTCCACCATGCGGGTCCTGGAGACTGAACTCAGGTTCAGTAGAGCCATTTTGCAGACCCCTGATTTTCACCTTTTTAATGCAACCAATAACTTACTTTTTCTGAAACTGAGTCATCAAGAATGAACTTTATGGAAAGATTTTATTTTTATTTTTGAGTTATATATGTGAGTCTGTGTGTGGATTTGTGTACATGAGTGCAGTGCCCCTGGAGGACAGAAGAGAGTGTTGTATCCCTTGAAAGTGAAATTGCAGGGAGTTGTGAGTCAATAGGTGTGGTTGCTGGGATTGAACCCCTGTCCTCTGCAAGAGCAGTAACTGTTCTTAGAGCTGTGCACCTTTCCATCCTGCCCATGAACGTTTGATCCTCCACTTTCTCACCAGAGTTCTTAGGTTATGGGATGCAGTGCCAGGCACTGAACCCTCTTTAGTACTGGAGATCAAACATAGGACTTTGTGTCTGCTAGGCAAACACTCAATCACAGAGCTTTTCTTTTGTGAACTTCCTTGGATGTGCTCGGAAAGAACAGGATCTTTCCCTGGTGTATGAGCTGGCTTGTTGGAGCCCGTTCCCTATGGTAGGATGCCATAATCAGCCTTAATGTCAGGGGGAAGAGGCTTGAACCTGCCCTGCCTTAATGTGCCAGGCTTTATCAGCTCCTCAGGGGAGCCAGTACTGGTGAGGAGGAGTGGATAAGGAAGGGAGTCCATTGGAAAAACAGGGAGGGTGGGAGGAGGGGGTGGGAGAACTGAGGTTGGAATGTAAAATGAAACTTAAAAAATGAATAAATAGAGTTGGTTGAGAAAGTCACAGAGCTGTAGAGATGGCTCAGCTGATAGGCACTGGCTATTGGGTGTGACAACATGAATTCAACCCCCAGACCCGACATGATAGAAGGGGAGAACTGACTCCTGGAAGCTATCCTTTGATTTCTGTATACATGTTCATGCAAAACATACATACAAAATATGTTAAAATTAACAGTTTTCAAATTCCATAAAATTACCTTTAAAAGGTCACACAGCAGCTGTGGTGTTGCAGGCCTGTAATTCTAGCATTTGAGAGATGGAAGCAGAAGGACCATTTCACCAACATCCTTAGCTACATACAAAGTTTACGGCCAACCTGGGCCACATGAGACCCTGTCTCAAAAACATACACATCACCTCTAAATCTAGCACTCAGAAAGCAGAAGCAGGTAGATCTCTGTGAGGCAAAATCAGTCTGATTTACAGTTCCAAGCCAGGGCTATTAAGGAAGATCCTGACTAAAACAAACACGCAAAGTAAATAAATAAATAAATAAATAGAGAAAGAGAGAGCGAGCGATCGAGAATTTTTAAAATCATGCAATTTGCATATATTTTTCTGACAGCACTAGCGCAGAACAGAAGCCCCCCAAAGAGACAGGCAGTTGTTTTCTAACCACTACCTGACTGGCTGGCACATAGTATATTCTTAAAATTTCAAAGAGGAGGGGCTGGAAAAATAGGTCAGTAATTAAGAGCACTGCCTGTTCTTCCAGAGGACCCTAGTTCGGTCCCCAACATCCACATAGCAGCTAACAACAGTCTATAACTCCAGTTCCAGAGGATCCGACACTCTCTTTGATCTCCATAAGCACTGCACGCATGCGATGCACAGACATACATGCAGGCAGAAACCCATCCATATACTTAAAAAAAAATTAAAACCAATAAATTTCAACGAGCCTTTGGGAATGCCATGCTGACCACATCCCTTAAATCACTAGTAAGAAAACCGAGGCCAGGCAGTGACGTCAACCAGTGCTCAACCGCAAGCTGAACGGAAACGTCGGTGGAAACCGGGATTCGAACCAGGGATTCTCCCTCCTAGCCTGGGCTCTCGCTGACCATATTTCTTACTGTGGGCACAGCCCGTCAGGTGAGGACCACACGGTGTGCGTTCCACAAAGAGAGCCACTCCTCGTCCTCCGCTCCAATCGGCTTCTGCTGCGGGCCAGGCCCCAGCTAGTGCCCTCCACGGCCATCGCTGGCCACTCCGTGTCTCCACCGGCCGCTTTAGCTCTTCGCAGGCGGCGCCGACAGGAAGTCCTGCCTCCGCCGCACGCACCAGAATACCTCGACAGCCGTACCAGCCAATGAGTGCAGTCTCTTCGAAGATGCCGACCAATAGGCGAGCGCGCTGGGAAGGGGGCGTGTCTGGCCGCGGGGCCGGGGAAGCGGGTCGTGCGCGCTGAGGAGGAGCCGCCGCCGTCGCCGCCGTCGCCGCCGCCGCCGTCGCCTTCGCCGCTCTGCCGCCGCCACCACCGCTACCGAGGCCGTGCGGAGCCGTTATCGCCGCGCCGCCCGTCCCGGAGCAGAGCCCCGGGCCTTCCCGCCCGTGTTCAGGTGAGGCTGGGTGGCTTCGGCGACTTCCGAAAGAGTAGGCCGCGCTAGGGCCTGAGCTCGCCTAGCCCCGCGGGCGCCCGCCGGGCCTGCACCGGCCGAAGGCCCCAGGCCGCGCCAGGCCTCGGTACGGAGACGCGCGTGTGGGCCGTGGCTAGGCGAAGGGAAACCGACTCGGTTTGATCCAGGTCGGCGACAAGCCTCCCCCGGGCCAGATTCCTCTGTGGGCTCCCGCGAGAGGCGGGAGAAGGACACGGCGTGGGCACGCGCTTTGGGGGGCCGGGCTCCGAGGCTTTGGGGGGCCCTGCATAGTCAGTCTCGGAAGCCCGGTGATCCGGGGGCGGAAGAGAGGAGCGAGGGCCTTGGGCGCCCAGAGGTCACGGCCCACGGACTCGCTCCCTCGGGAAACCCCACAGATTTCTTTTGTGGCCGATTTTCAGGATACACCGCGACGGATCGTGAGGTCCTTTTAGAAGTGTGCAAATCTTTTTCCGTATGTATGGAAGTCCTAGAAAATAAAAGGAAAAAAATTTTGATCGCCATCTCTAACAAAGCTGTTCTCGGGACGCTTGCATTTGTAAAATAATGTATAAATATTGAAAATATAACTGCACGCATTTGAACAATGGGTAGTGAAGGAGGGTCTTAACTTTTGTCTTATGCTGCTAAAGCATGTCAAATGGGTTTTGACACCTACTATGTGCAGGGCAGGCGGAGAACTTTTTTGCGCTGGACAGAGCTTTGATTATCGAAAGTGTTCCTGTAGGATACCTATAGCCAGTGCTCTGAAAGGGGCAAGATCGGATGATAGAGAAAGCTCTTCTAACCTCCCTGCTATAGGCAGTTAAGGTCAGATAATGGTTGGTTGTGGGGCCCTGGCTGCCCTGTGCATTGTAGGAAGTTGGATGGCTTGACTGGCTTCTCTGCCGGCTAAGTATTGGCATCTCTGCCTCCCACTTTCCCCAGTTGTGAATACCAAAAATAAATCCAAGCGTTGCTAGGGGTCTTTCTTGCTCTCCCCACTACCAAACAGATACACACACAGAGGTGAGAAATCCTTAAATAATCTTTCTAGAACAGTCCTTCCAGCCCTGTCGCTGATGATCTGTGGGAAGCTCCTAAAATTTTGAGTAAGCTATGTTGAATTGCCTGTGAAATAGCAGGGTAAAAGTATTGGGCATGTAAAGATGTGAGGAGAACCCCAGGATTGTGCATGTCACACATGGAATACATAATGTTACAAATAATCACCAGAATTTATTAACATTGTCTCCAGCCCCTGAGATAGATGTTATAATATCCATTTTAGAGAAGAAAGTGAAGCTTAGCTTAGGACAGTCTCTTGCACTAAAGTGGCCAGTGCAGGATTTGAATGCAGGTCCAAGATACCCAATGTATTGCCACTGAACATGTATGCAAAACTGCTGAGATGTGTTTTTTGAAACCCTGTGGAGCTGGAGAGATGGGTCAGCAGACAGGAGCACTTGTTGCTCTTGCAGAGGACCTGTTCAGTTCCTATCACCTGAATGATGGCTCACAACCATCATTAACTCCAGTTCCAAGGGATCCCATGTCTTCTCACCTTGCAGGCACCAAGCACCAATGTGGTTCTCATATATACGTACAAACAAAACACACATAAATATAAAATTATTTTTTAGTGCTGTGACTTCGAGGTTTGTGAAGAAGCTGAGAGAAATGGGAAATGTTTCTGTTAGTATTGGTTTGGGGGAAACAAATAGGATGTGCCCAGGAATAATAGGTCATGGGGCCACAGTAGAAAGGGAGAGATTGAAGAACATACTTTTTCCTGTGCTTGCTCAGTTGCTTCCCACACTTAACTATGCTTCTCTTCTGTCTGTCTTTGAACACAGCAGGAGTTGGCTTTTGAAGGTGCAGATCTGATCATATTTCTCCTGATTAGAAGTCTTGAGGTGGGGTAGGGAAGCTGTGTTGTGCTGTTTAAGTTAGAAGCCCTTAGCTTGGGGTGATCCTCTACTCCCTCTGACCCTGTCTACTCTTTCCTTGGAAGATCTCTTCTCATGCAGTGTGGCCTGGCTCAAAGCACAAATACCACTTGAAGCTGCCTCCAACTGCCAAGGCTCCTCCACCTCCCAGAATCAACTGTTCTTGGTTTGTGTTTCCCATCCCATTCAGTGTGTTCAATCTAGTTAAATGCTGAAGTGAGATGTAGTGCCGGCCTTTTGCCTCTAGGTGGCAGTAGTTCAACAGTGGCCATAGTTCTAAGGAAATTGGCCAACAAGAGGGAAGTGAGCCTTTGTGTCTCCCTCCCCCAAGCTGTGTTCTAGCTCAGAGGCTAGCCTCTGCATAGGCCATGGTGTATGTGACCTGTGTGTAGATGATTTCAGCCTGGCTGGTGAACAGTAGCAATGTACCAACCGCAGTGGAAGCTCAAGTAAAGGAACTCTTACTCAAGCCCAGGAGACCTCGGGATGTTCCCTGGAGTTGTTGAGGCAGGAGGATTAGTAGGAAATAGCTAGGTAAAAGACCAGTTGGAAAGGCTCTATAAGAACTTGATGGTGGGGCAGGGGGATGGCATCCGTTTGTTCAGGAAACTATGGGAGTGTGGAACTTTTGGGAAAGTACAATGAAGTGAGCAGCAGGTCTGTTGGAAAGAGAGCTCAGATATTATGAGAGCCCTCTCCAGATCCATGTTAATGGACAGAGGAGGGTCACATTTGCACAGGAGGAGCTGACTGGCAGCCAGAAAACCAGTAAGGTGCTTTCTTCCACATTAGAAAGACACGGAGCTCCCTGTAGAGACAGGGAGTATTGAGACAGACACAATTAGAGGGTCAGAAGTCCCGTGACTTGGAATTTGGACATGAGAAAGAGCAATGGTAGCCAACCCTGCCCAACACTTGTGCTATAAAGATGAGTGGCCACAGAGAATTTGAGAAGGAAGAGAAAACAGTGTAATGAATGACTGAAGATGAGCAAGCACATGGCTGAAGCAGAATGGTGACAGAATATCCATGTCTACACATGTGTTCAGTGCTCTGTGGATTATCCCCACCTTTCTGTCCTTAGGAAAGTTGGTGTGAATTGCCAGGACCTATTCTCTGTCACCGGGAAGAAATGCGCTCTTCAAATCAGTTGTAGAGTGTTTGTCTTGCATGCATGAAACCCTAGTTTTAATACCCAGCACCACATAAACCAGGAATAGTGTCTTATGCCTGTAATCCCAATGCTCAGGTGTTAGGGGCAGATATTAACTATCTATGGGGGTTGAGGTTAGCCTGAACTACACTGAGATGCTCTCAAAAAAAAGTCAACCTGATTTAAGAAGAGGCCTCAATGTATGAGACGTAGTATAAAAAAGAGGGTTCATCTTTACAAACAGTATATTGAGTGGAATGATTATTGGTTATTAGTTTGGTTTTGTTCAAGCAGATTGCAATAAAAGAGGAACAGGGAGGCTGTCCAGGATCGGCAGATGACCAACAGCCAAAGAAAAGAAAGGTACCAAGAAGCTGCCAGGCCTGAGTGTACCAGTTAAACCAGACCAGGAGGGTCAGTTGGGAGTGTAAACGTGGAGACAATACTTATGCTAGGTTCAGGTGGTATCAGGTTTCTGGTCCTTGTCAAGGGCATGCCAGAAGATTGCTTATCTGTTGAGGTTGGGATTGCTCCTTTTTTGTGGTCCCTGTGCCTGGCACATGGTTGGCATTCCACCCATGCCGGGGAAGAAAGAGTTAGTGAAGATCTCAGAAGTGACTAGATCTAGCCACCCATCAAAGAAACCTTTATGTCAGAGGAAGGGTTGACAGGAGAGAATAGTGCACAGCAACTCAATGGCAGGGCTGATGTCACCATGGACAGAGGCCTGAAGACATTGGAAGTGGAGTCATTTAGCAGGAAAGTTAAATTGGATTTAGAGACACATTTAGGCTAGACAAGAGGAGACAGGGATCTGATTGAGAAAGAAAGCAGAGAGGAAGGAGTTAGAGATGTTGTCAGGTATAACTTGGGCAGCTACATTTGGTAGAGGGACTAGAAGAAGGTGACTTGGAGGTGTGCTAGTTCTACTGCAGAAGTGAGTCAAGGTAGGGGAAAGGTTTGGAAATTACTGACATAGGAGATGGGTGGGGAACCACACACCTTAGTTTCCCACATCTATCAGCTTGCAGGTGTTGTATAGCAGTTGGTGACATCCACAGTGAGAAAATGAAGTGACTAACCCCCACTATCTTTTGTTTGTTGCTGACAGTGTGATTCATTTTGGAAGTGGGGTAGAGCCATGGGCTTCCGTGCCTTACTGTGTTGCTGTGCATGTCTCTGGTTCTGGCCAAGTCCCTAGGGCCTATAGAGCACTTGGACTAGGCAGCCTGCTCTGTGCTGACCTACTGTGAACTACTTGGCTTGAGCTGTCCCAGTCAAGTGGGCCTTAGCCTTCTTGACTATGGACAAGGTCCATTAAGAATCTGTATGTGCCCCCATCTACCTGAACTCTGGTTGGCTGACAATAATAATTGAGTCAAGTGGTACCTTCAGTTTTTTTCTGGCACCCGGGTATTTCCTGGGTGACTTGTTCCCCCACCCACCCCCACCTCTCATCTTGAAGACTCAAGAGTTTTATATCTAGAAAGAACCTCAGGAATAATTGAGGGTCTGGAGAGATGGCTCAGCAGTTAAGAACACTTGCTGCTCTTGCAAAGGGCTTGGGTTCTATTCCCAGTACCCACATGGTGATTCACAAACAACTATAACTCTAGCTCCAGGGGATCTGACACCTTGTATTGACCTCCATGGGCACCAATGCACAGATACATGCTTGCAGAACATTCACATACATAAAGTAAAATTAAAAAAAAAAAATACTTGAGTCTAAGCCTCTTAAGTGGGTAGTAGTGCTGCTAGTCAGGCCTGATAAAAGAGTTTGGCTTCAATCTAGTACTCATCCTTTACAAAGTCCTGCCCCACCTTTGAAAACTTTGGCTCTCATGTATGCCTCATGGATACTAACCCTACTGATAACACTACCCATGTATGTTTTTATGTCATATATAAAGACACCTGCATTGTTCTACAGTGCTGCCAATGGGAACACCAGGATGGATGTCACATGGCACAACTATAAGATAGTTTAAAATGTGTAGTAGGATCAAAATCCCAAGACCCTTCTAAACAAAACTTCTCCTTGGTATATCCAGTTACTTGAAATGGTTCTTAATAACAGGAGAATCATTTTGTCATACTTGACGTTTCCAGTTTTTGCTCCTTGCAGTTGCCCTTGTTCTTTGGGGTGGTGCTTATTACTCATGATCTTGGGAAAGTAAGATAATGTGTTGTATGTGGCTGAATAATAGAATTGTTGCCTAGCATGTTCAAGACCACAGGTTCTATCTTTACCATCTCAGAGAAGAGGGAGGGAACATGGAAATGTCATAGTATTCTACATCAAACAACTTACAACCGCTAATGCTAGTTTCAGGGGATCCAACACCTCTGGCCTCAGGCATCCATACTCTTACATGTATATGCATACACATAAACTTAATTAAAAATAAATCTTGTTATTTTTAAAAGGAAGAAGCTGATGGATTTTTAAAAATGCCAGGACAGCTGGTCAGTAGTGGCCCATTCCTTTAGTCCCAGCACTATGAAGGCAGAGGCAGGCAGCTCTCTGTGACTTTGAGGCTAGCCTGGTCTACAAAGCTACACAGAGAAACCCTGACTCAAAAAAATAAAAACTTTGCCAGGTGGTGGCACAAGCCTTTAATCCCAGTACTTGGGAGGCAGAGGCAGGCAGATCCCTGGGTTTGTGATCAGCCTGGTCTATAAGAGCTAGTTCGAGGACAGGCTCCAAAGCTACACAGGAAAACCTGTCTTGAAAAGCAAAAAAAAAAAAAAAAAAAAAAAAAAAAGTCAGGACAACTTGTGAGTGCTGTTATTTAACATTAAAGAAATATTCCAAACATGGAATATCCCAGGTGGAATCTGGAACCTTTAATTTGAGGGCCCTTAGATAGCAATGGTCTATCCTTACCTGGTAGGGGAAATGTCATGATTACAGGTCATTTCCCAGGATGAGGGTCATATATATTGCTCTTGGGATGTGTTAGCCCCTGTGAATTTCCCCCAAAATCTAGAAACATGACTGCATAATTTGTGGTAGTTGGGACATTGGCCATGTATGTAAAGTCCTTGCTGTGTTTGTTATTTATTTTGGTGTGGGACACATGCGGAGTTCAGTGCCACAACTTTGTGAAGTTGATTCTTTCTACTTTTACATGCATTCAGGCCATCAAACTCAGATTATCAGACTCGCATAGTAACCTCTTCACCCATTGAGCCATCTTCCCAGCCAATACCTCACTTGTGATATTGGTGAAAAATAATTATTGAGGGGGTAATAAAGGCTTATGCCAACGGTGGAAAGGATTTGAAAAATGAAGCAGCCTGTTATCCTGCCTAGGACTAAGCCAGGCCAGGGACACAGGCTGGAAAATTCAGTGGGTCGCCATTACAAAGGCATTATAATTTATGCTGGAGCACCACTATGTAGTGACAACTCAAGGCCAAACCCTGCCACTTATTAACAGTCTGACTGACCATGAGCAAAATAGAGTGACCTCTGAGCTTTAGTGGGTAATGACAGAAAAGCATGGAAGTGAGCAGAGTTGACTTACAGGGAGCAGGAGGTGCCAGAGGCTTGATAGTGATCATTGATAATTGGATAATCACAGATCTATTACGGATAGAGCTTGTGGGCACAGGATAGTTGGACCCAGGTTGGGCCACACAGGTTTGGAAAGGATCAAGGGCGGCCTACTGGAAGATTGAGTGGAGTAGCCTCTGAAGTACCATGAAACTGGCTCTATTGTTCCTAGTTGGCTACAGACTTGAACTGTAAGGAGTGTTCAGCCCTGAATGCCGTGACCATGCTGTGGAGCAGTGTGACAAGTTCTTTGTTTAAATCTTAATTTTAGTTTTTCATTTGCATTATAGAAAATTGTACTCATCTTCTTTGTGTAGGATTGTTTGAAGGTTTTTTTGTTGTTGTTGTTGTTTTTGTTTGTTTGTTTGTTTGTTCTGAGAAAGAGTCTGAGTAGCCAGGTTGACTTTCATACTTGCTATATATCTGAGGATGGCTGGATTTCTGAACTCCTGCCTGCACCTTCCAAGTCCTAGGATTATAGTTGTCCACCATTACTCCCATGTGTTGCTGGAGAGTGGGACCTGGGGACTCATGAATGCTAGACAATAATCATACCAACTGAGCCCTGTTATTTGAGGCTTGTTTTTGTTTGGTTTAAAGGGTGTCAATATGTAACCCTGGCTGGCCTAGAACTCTATGGATCAGGTTGACCCTAAGCTCACATAGTTCTGCCTGCCTGTGCCTCTTGAATGCTAGGATTAAAGGCATGTGCTACCACATCCCTCAATGTTGCCATCAGAGGACTACTTTGAAGAGTTGGTCCTTCCCTGCCCACTTTTCCCCATGAATGACTTATTTCAGTTGTTCAGACTTACAGTGATTGTGAATAAAGTATGCTATATGCATTTGTATATAGGTTTTTATGTGAACATAGATGTTCATTTCTCTTACATTAATGTGGCTTATACCTATAATCTCAGCATTTCAGAGACTGAGGAGGGGGTTGCCATAAATTTGAGGCTAGTTTGGGCTACATGGTGAATTTTGGGGTTAGACTAACAGGAATCTCCCAGAAAGGAAGGAGGAAATGAAAGAAAACAGAAGTAGGAATGTCATTGCCAGGTCACATACAGTGTGTGTGTGTGTGTGTGTGTGTGTGTGTGTGTGTGTGTGTGTGTGTGTATGTTTTCAACTCAGAGACTGCCAATTTGTTTATCAAAGTAACTGTTACATTTTTAAAAATAATTTACTTTTATTTGCATTCGTGTTTTGCCTGAATGCATGTATATCTATCTGAGGGTGTCTGATCTTGGAGTTACAGACAATTGTTAGTTGCCATATGGGTACTGGGAATTGAACCCAGGTCCTCTGGAAGAGTAGTCAGTGTTCTTAACTGCAGAGCTATCTCTCCAGCCCCCAACAGTTACATTTTTGTATTACTACCATAGATGTATGTAGAAAGCCTAACGTCTCCCCCATCCTCCCCAGCATTTTTAGCCATTCTAGTAGAAATCTTTTGATTGTATTTTAAAAGTCAGTTATTATTTGTATTTTTGTGTTTGAATGGTCAAGCATGCAGCTGTACATGTGTGGATGTCAAAGGACAACAACCCATGAACGTGAGAATGGATTGATCTTTGGCCTCCATGTCTAGGGATCTTTCCACTCCCTAGCCATGACATCTAGCTTCATACTTGGGTTCTGGAGATCAAACTCAAGTTGTCATGGTTGCATGCACAAATAGTTTTAGCTGCTGAGCCATCTCCCCGGTTCCTGTTTGTTTTTTAGATGATGCCATTTTGTCAAGGATGACTTTGAACTCCTGATCTGCATGCCTCTACCTCTCAAATACTTGAATATCAGAAGTATACCACCAAACCCAGATTTGTGTGTGTGTCCAAGTGCACATAAC